TTTAGTAAATGATGGTCCAGTTTAGAATAAATTGGCCATAAAGCAGGGTGCTTTTTATGCTTTAGAGTGGGGCTACCTTGTAATTGACAGGTCATTTTCAGTGAGTCCGTCAAGCTCAACGCACCAAACTCCGATCAAACTGTCAAACTAGGCAGTGCTGATCAAATATGAATCTAGATTCACAAACATATTTTAGTGTACTGTTTAGAGAAGATGTGTGACTAGGTGAGTCACCATTGTTTCCTGCTACGGATGAGTCCAAACTGTACAGCCAATGAGAGCAGCTCCACTCGCAGTACATCATGCTGGTTCCGACAAACTGTCACCGAGACGACCACAACGCCAAACTTGAGGCCACACTCCACAAACCAATGGGTGATGTCACGATAGGTTCACAAGGAAAACTGCAGAGTCTGGTGATACTTCTTGAACAGGTGCCCCAGTGTTCACCTCCACTTCATGACTTCGCTAACTCCAGTTACAGCTAATTAACTTCCAGTGCTCCGCCTCAGTGGATACTGGAAAAAACCTCCAGGCTGTCACACATGATATCCTTGTCCAAATAATGCAATCCTTTCCCCCTTCCTCTACCTGCAGCATTTTTGCAGTGACTGTGAGCTCCCGGGCGAGAGGGGGAAAACAGGAGACCCTGTGTGCCCAGATCCACGGCCCCACAGAGCCCGTCTCTCTGACCGTCGCCCTCGAAATGGACTCCGGCAGCACCGTCATCCTGGAGGAGGCTGTCAAACAGGACTTCTACCGCTGCTTAAGCTTCCAGGTCTGACTCAATGTTTTGCACACTCGGTTTGGCAGTTTGCAGAGTGGTGTGTCATGTTTCAGTTCAACATCAACATATAAAATTAGCTTTTTAGTATTTGCTTCTGCATTTACAGTGGCAGCGAGTTAAAGCAGAGCAGAACTTAACTTTTAATGTTCGTAGTGGTTCAATGCATCCATGAGGTTTCCAGGCACAGTGTACTTTCCTCCCCTCACCCCCCAGCTCTCCATTAAAACTAATGGCACACATACTGGCGTCGTTATGTACCTAATTATCCAGCTGGCGCCATGACCGAGGCTGTCAACGCCAATGGTTCTCTGTAAATTACTGCTCTGGTTTCTGTCACACCGCTGCTCGCTGTTATGCAACTTGCGGGCCTTGGTCCATATTGATGCGAAGCGACCCCCCGACCCCAATCAGCTCTGTGACAATAGCACTTAGTTTCACTTCGTTCCCCTGTGTTTGGCCCTGCTGCAGGCCTAGTCTGGCATTTCTCTATCTGCCACTAAACAAAGGCTGCTTTCTACCAGAGGCTAGCTATGTACCTGCATTCCTCTGGAAAACACCCCCTGCCCCCTACTCTGAGACTCCCACCACACACACACATATAAAAAAAAAACGCCCCTCACAACTTTTGGAAGTGGTTCCAGTCCCTGTTATATAATAGCTGCTCCATTAGCAAGTGAAAACATATGCTATACAAGTATGACGACATTTTATAATTAACCTTGTGAAGTGGAAGAGGCCTGTTGTTGCTCAGATGAATTTACTTTCAAGCAGTTACTCTAAACCATTAAAGCTGACAGATGTTGCAAACACAGTCCGGAGGAGGAACATGTACGATGGAGAAAGGTGCTCTACAACTGTGCACACATTGTGGTTCTGTATGAAACTAAATTTAAATGTCCTCCCTCCCTTCCTTCCTCTCTTCCTGAAGATTCAAATATCCTCTGGTCCTCTTTGACAGATGTGTGTTTTCTGGTATTGCAGGTCCCTACAGTGCGTTCCAGAACTGTGGCAACCATTAATGTCACTATTCAGGGTGAGAGCGCCTCGATGAGCAAGAAAGCCAAAATCCTCATCGAGCCTCCTGCTTTCATCCACATCATCCAGACTGATAAACCGATCTACAAACCTGGACAGACTGGTGAGCTGCTGCTGCAGCAGGCGTACTGTTCATACAGCCCACATTATCCTCTCCACACTGCTTACCAATTCAGCTGCACTTGCACATTTTGGACTAAATTACAATATCTGCATAATGCTGAGCCACTACTTGACAACTTTAGGAATTATGGCTGTATTCGGCACAGTGAAAAACAGTGGTTCCTCAAGAGTTCTTGACAGAGGTTGTGTGTGTTATAGAGCTGCAGCGATTAGTTGATTAATTGATTAGATAACTCTTAAATTAATCGTTGACTATCTGATCATCGATAATTACTTTGAGTCATCTTTTTAAGACAAAATGTAAAAATTCTCTGATTTCAGCTTCTTAAATGTGAATATTTTGTGCTTTCTTTAGTCCTCTGTGACAGTAAACTGAATATCTTCCTGGTTGTGGACAAAAACAAGACATTTGAGGACGTCCCCTTGTGCTTTGAGAACCACTGATCAACATTTTTCACTTTTTTCTTTTCTTTTTACCAAATAATTAACTAACCCATAAAGAAAATGATCAACAGATTAATCGATAAGGAAAATAGTTGTTAGTTGCAGCCCTGGTGCATTAAAAAAATATCGAAAAGAAACAAATCACAGCACATCCTAAAAATGTGGATTTAGAGTGGCGTTTTTCAAATTACATTTTTAGAACCATCAATGTGTTATTGTGAAATGAGTTATATCAGTTATATGTACTATAAAAAGTTGAGACAATGTTTCAGCCAACTTGTCATCTCTATGTAATGCCAGGGGCTGTGTATTGGCAAGAATCTGGCGATACGATACGTATCACGATACAGGGGTTATGATTCAATATATTGCAATACTGTTATCAAGGTGATATATTTTACATTTTTTTTAAATCTAATCTCAGGAATATTATTATAGTATATAGAACACACCACCATATGTATAAAATCCAATCTTTTTTAATGCAACACTGGGATCTGCATTCACTGTAAATATCACAGTCCCTGTAACCTTAACATCAAGCAGCACTGCTATCTAGCAGTTGTGGTTTTAAAACCAAAAATCATGATAATGAAAAATAGTGTTTTTGAGAATCAATATCACAAACAAAATATTGCAATATGCACCACTCATATTGCAATATTGTGTTTGTGATATTGATTCTCAAAAACACTATTTTTCTTAGGACTCTTATCAGGACTTATTTCTTAAAACTGATGTAAATGATTTCATCAGGGTTGCTCCTTGTGACAAGCAGGGTGATCAATCATGTGTAAAGTTTTACCGTTATCTTGTCATGGTTAGCACAGCTCAGCCTGTAAAAAATTTAATTCAATTTAATTTGAAATGAAATGTGATATTTTGGTTTGTGCTTGGGGATTTTTTAATGGAAAGCTTTCATTCCAAACTGGTGTTCACCAGGCAAGGAGGGTTTTTCAGAAATATGCTATTGAGTTGCATTATGGGAAATGTAGTATTCAGTGTTTTTGGGGACCCTCCGATAGGAATTTTAAAGCCAGCATGTCTCTGCATACACTGCTTTAATTTTAACCGTTTTTTTTTTTCCAATCGACCCTTTTTAAAAGTGCCCCTTTAAAGCCTGGTTTCTTATAAAGCATAAATAGTTGCTTCCTGTCACTTCTGGTGTCTGTGGAGAAAAAAAAAAAAATAAAATAAAATAAATTATTATTAATTTAATTTGTTCCAAGAAAGTAATGTATCAGATCCTCATCCCAAACGATGGAATATTCCGTTTATTCGCTCTGTTTCTTCGTATTCATGTTATACATTGCTGTCTGTGTGTTATATTTTAGAGAATTCATTAATGCAATTTTTTTCCTGTTTCTTTTTTTTAAAGTTCAGTTCCGAATCGTCTCCATGGATGCCAATTTCCTCCCCGTAGCTCGAGTGGTAAGTCTCATGTTTACTTTGGCTCTGCAAAATTCTGTGATATTGTATGGTGTGTGTGATAATTCCAACCAGCGAACTTTGTAATCTGGTGTGATTTCTACCAGGCAGACAGTGAATCTGAGGAGCGAGGTCTATTTTGGTTCAGGAGAGTGGGAGGTGAAAGGAGGACTGTTTGTTGATTTAGAAGACAGCGTGGGTGTGAAGCGCTGTGTGGAGTAGTGTGATAAACATGCTGTCAGAGTTCATTTGGCCCACACTGCATTTGACCCAAACATCTGAATCAATACGGGCTCAAGGCCTTTTCCGCTTGTGTCGAGAGGCTGAAAACACAAGTGCGTGCAGCGAACGTGAAATTCATTCAGATGTGTCGTATGATGAGGGCAGCTCGCTAGAAAGTAGCTCTAAAGACTGTTTCAGGTGGTCTCATAGGAAACAATAAAGCTGTAGCTGCTGCTTTCAACTCTTCATATAAGATATGAGTAAAATATTCATTATTAAATATTTTATATTGCATGTACATCATTTTATACACATCTCGCTAAATTTAGCCTGATGTATCCTTCAGAAACTCTGGGATCTTTACTAGAATTTAAAATTAAGTTAAGAGTTTGTCCAAAAGTTTGTGTATCTCTAGTTTTCTATTTAAAGTTTCTGTAGGTTGCGCTTAATTTTCAGCTCAGTCACGGTAAAGAAAGCTAATTACCTATTTCTTGTTCTTCTGTTTATTTTGATTAAAACATTTTCAGTGCAAGATAAGTTAAGGGGATACACTACAGGTTAATATGGTAAAATTATTAACTAGTAGATATCACAATGAAACCTCTCCATTTGATTACTTACTTTCACAAATATTTTGTTTTACTATTAGAGTGAATGTTTCTTTTTATCATCCATAAATCAAAAAATACTGTCGACAGCCATAAAAAACAAATTTCGCCACATTTTAGGAATAAAATGTGATATAAATCAGGCTGTGAATGATATGTGAACAAATTCCTCTGTAAAAACCTTCAGAATATAGAAAACTGGAAGGTTCGGTGTATGTAAGTGCTACTCAAGTGGAGATTTATGGCTCAAAAAAAATGGAAAAAACTAATTTTGAGAAGAAACTACCTGTTTGCAAAATTGCAAGACACTACAGGTGAATAGGGTAAAACCTACTGATATCAAGTGATTTACTTCCACTAAGGCAGTTATATTTTATGCAAATGCAAAATGGGAATTATCTTAGCCAACGTTTGGTGAATTCAGAAAATAGCTGCAAACGCAAATAGACAAAATGTAGTAAAATAAACACTGAAATTTGGGGCGTTTTCTTTCCACTTGCCTAAAAGAAGATGTGCTATTGAAACAAAATAGCCCAAAATCTAAAAATGGACCAGTGTCTCACCTATGGGGAAATTAGACAAGATAATGTTTTTTTTTATCTGTGAACTATCTGTACCTTAAAATCACTATTGTGTTATTAATGTAAAAACAAGTTTCTACGCTTAAGGAACAGTATAAAATAGACACATATTTATAGGGAAACTTTACACATTTTTTCTAAATGTAAATGTGCAATTTATTGTGCAAATTCTATGTGCAGCTAATCAACTTTTTGACATTTGTTTTCTTTTCTTTTTCAGTACAAAGTGGTGGAGCTCCAGGTAAGATTCACTACAGTGATTGTATGACAGCCTGCACAGCACCTCTGCTGCTAGACCAGTTATTGGACTACAAAAAATGACATTGAAATGACAGTCGGAGGATTGTTAGCATTGTACTTTAACAGACGTATTTACACACCTCTAACCCATAACACAGCTTCGCTAACTAATGGTCACGTATGGCTGTATATGATGAGAAGGGTAAGCTAGCTAGTCATCCAGAATAACATCTGATGGATACACTTATGTCCCTGAAGACAGTATGTTTATTCTTATATTGATACTGTGGAATCAAAGGACACTGAGATGAATGGGCTGGAAGTTGCACTTAGCCCGCACTAATTGTCACCTGTATTATGTCCTTTTTCTACAAACAAAACCAGAATAATTTGAAAGATGTTATGGTTACATATAAATTCTACATCTGGAGGAATGGAATAGGATCTATGTTTAAAACACGAAGTTGCTCTTTTGTGCTCCCATGCTATGTAACAGTCCATCAACCTATCAATGGTGTATTTGTTTCTTCCTTGTTGAAATTCAGTGTCTCATGCTGGTCACCTGCAGCAGATAGCATTAGCTCTGAACTCAGCCTTCAGTGAATGTGCCTTTTTCTTTTTGCAGGATCCCAATTCAAATCGCATTGCACAGTGGTTGGATAAGTCCATTGTTAGTGGTATCCTTGATCTTTCCCACCCCATGATTCCTGAGGCGGCACAAGGAAGCTACACGATCACCGCCTCGACAAACAAAGGAGAGCAAGTATCCCACAGCTTTGACATCAAGGAATACGGTCAGTTACAGGCATAAAAAAAAAGTCTCACATTTGCCAAAATAAGGTTGTGTTTGATCTCTGTTCGATTTGAATTCTGTTTCTTTAGTTTTGCCAAAGTATGAAGTTAAGGTTCACCTACCCAGTGTGATCACCATCCTGGACCAAGAGGCAACGCTAAAGATCTGTGGAAAGTGAGTGTCCCACTTAAACAGTGCTGTCGTTGAAGTTTAGGACAGACCAATGTGTTTATTTAACATTAGTAGTTTATTAAAGTAAAACTGAGAACTGAATTCTCCTCACTTCCTGTATAAGCAAAGGTGTATGCGGCTATATTTTTCTATTTTCTTGAGACCACATAGAGCACTGGCATCTGAGGGCCAGCACTTCCAGGAAGCACATTTTCAGCTTTCATTGTGCGCTTATGTCTGAGAACGTCAAACTGTGGGCAATATATTAACACACATTAGCTATCAATATAACAAAATGCTTTCATTGGCTGCCCACATAGATATTGCACCAATTAAATTGCCCCTGGGGGACTTTTATGTATGGGGCACTATAACACTAGTACAATCTAAAATTAATTTTGTATGGCCAGTACAAAACCACAAGGATATCGAATATACTGATTTCTTAGCCAAGTAGTCTATGGTGTCATCCACATCTGCCATGATGGATATTCATGCCATCGTTGTTCTTTCTTCTGCAGATACACCTATGGGAAACCAGTTGTTGGTTCAGTGAAAGCTGTGTTTTGTAGAAATGCCATCAGGTTTTATTGGTATTCACGTTCCCAAGAAAGTGACCTCTGCAAGATGTATGAACTGACAGTGAGTGTTCCAGATAAAGAAAATAACGATTTGCTGCTGTCACAGTTCTTTCACTAATTTTGTTTGAACCTTGCCATTGTTATTATCTCCTAGACGGATAAAAGTGGTTGTGCTACACAAATTGTGAACTTGATGGAGTTTTCCCTCAACAAGAGCATGTACGATGACCATTTCGATGTGAATGCTGAAATGGAGGAATATGGCACAGGTAGGTTGACTGAATACCGCATACTATTCATTAAGTAATCTGCACAAGTCTCTGATGAGCTGTGATGTGTGTTTGCTACTATCTAGGGGTAATTCTTAAAGGCAGTGGGCGGACCAGCTTCAGCAGTAACATCAGAACTGTAACCTTTGAGGATGTACCTGCAGCGTACAAGCCTGGCATCCCGTTCGAGGGAAAGGTGACCACTGGGAGCTATAGTCTGCTGTCAGCTCAGATGCATGTTTTTTTTTTTCCCCATTTATCCATGCCAGTGGTGTGGCTCTAGGGATGACAATTTGGGCTGGCTATTGGCCATCTAGTGATTCCATATGTATCACTATACAGGGGTTATGATTCAATATTTTGGATACTGTAAGGCAATATATTGCTTTTTTTAAATGTAATTTTAGGTAAACTGTCATAGTATAAAGAACACACCATCATATGCATAAAATTTGAGTTTTATGCAAACAGAACAGTGGGATCTTCATTTATATTTATCACTGTCCCTTTAACATCCAACATCATAGCCCTTACAGATAAGTTGCAACTGTTTTCCAAGTGCACAATTTATTACTATTCAAGCAGTAACGGATAAAAGCAGCTTCATCATTGTACAAGTATATTTACAGCTGTTTGTAAAACGTACCTGTGTAACATTAGCTAAGTTAGCGGCTAACTCTCCGGTGTCCGTAGTGTCAGGCTACAACTACGTAGCAGGCCACAAGACAAGACGTTGATCTTGTAGAAGCAGGGGTTGGTTGGTAATTAAATCTGCCACTTCATCTGTCTCCAGATCAGCCAATAGCAAAATGAAATTCCAATAGCTGTGTTTCAACCAGTAGGGGGCAGTCGCTATGCATTATTTAAAAAAATGGAGACGAATAAATACTTTGATTCAGGTCTGGACATTTTAGTGCAATCAACAACACTAGTAAATAGCCATATACAGTGGTTTTCACTATTTAAAGCATTCAGGTGGTTTTTCATGCTTGTTGTGCCAATGTGGTAGGCCAGTTTTAAATGGCATATTTAGTCTCGTCATCACTTATTTTAAAGTGTTCCCACACACAGCTGAGGAATGCTGAACACCTACCAAACAAACAAATGTCTGAATAGTCGAATATTCAGGTCCAGCCTTAGCTCACCACAGGATTAACCCTTCAGAGTTTCGAGACTCCTCATCTCGAATCAGTAATTTGATTCTGGTAAAATTTCCCCCACGGGGGATCTATGAAGGACCATCTTATCTTTCTATCTTATATTTTTAAACACATTCATACTCCCAGAGGGATTAAACCCCTTTAGCCTTACATATTTAATGACCAGCACAATCATTGGTATTAGTGTGTTGGGGAATGATGAACTTTTAGTCGCAAAGATTTTAAAAGTCTGTGGTTCAACTTCTGCTTTCTGACTTGTTTCCAGGTCAAAATGGCCGGTCCAGATAACAAACCCGTCGCCAATGAGGCAGTGTACCTGTTTGTTGGTGACTTTCAGAACTTAACGCTGACTACAGACATGAAAGGCATGGCTTCATTTTCTTTGGACACGGCCCTCTGGACAGACACTGTGAATCTAAAGGTTGGTCACTGCTTGTCAGAGCTTTCAATGGAGTTCAAGGGCTTCCTATTAGCAACTAGTTCATTATTTATAAATTATACAGTCAATATCTAATTAAAGAAACTTTCCATCATATCGATCATGTTGGATGTGATTAAATGAATCTGTTTTTTAGAATTGGTGTCATGTTAGTTCATATTTAAGAATTACAGGTTGATAAGTGAAGGTTGTTGAGTAAAGGTTTGACCTTTTGACCTGTGGCTATTGTGTCAACAGGCAAGGTCTAGAAAGACTGAGGAGAACGAGCCGTATGTGGCCAGTTTGCGTAAGCCAGAGTACAAGTCGGCTTACCACCAAGCTGCAGCATTTTACTCCAAGAGCAGTAGCTTTTTGAAACTCATGCAGGTCAACAGGAAGCTCTCCTGTGACAAAGATGCAACTGTCCGTGCTCAGTACATCATCCAGGGGGAGGAGCTGAAAAAGGGACAGGAAGTCCTCGACTTCTTTTACCTGGTAAGATTGACGTGATTGATGAGCTACTGTTTTACCACCCAACTGGTACCGTGCAGGTGAACCTCAGCCCAGTGGTCCAGTCTGTATCTTGACACCGTTGCTCTAGTGACACAATGGAGCAATATCCTGCTGATTATTTACGTTTTTAAACGTGGATATGGCTATCTACAGTTTCTGGGAGCGCTGTGGTGTTGAAGTATGTTTTATTTCTTCTGATTTATTTAAAAATCACATCACACTTATGAGTAGTTGGAACTGAAGTTAGATGTTAAAAAAGAAAACCCCTAGATTATACATCTTCCTTAGAGATGGGACGAAAAACCATATTATCTTTTTAAATTATATTTTCTTAACAAATGTTTCCAGTATGTTTGTGTGCCATTTTAATTTTTGAGCATGTTTTGATGGCTATTTGAATAATATCATGACAAATTTTTCCTCCCACGCCTACATTATATTAACATTTAGTTTAGCATTAAATTGCTCCATTGACTCAGTCACTGAAAAGGTTTTTTGCACAAAGGACATGGACCTAATTGTGTACCTAACTGTACACTAAGCGTATAAAATGAATCCAGAATTCTATACGCTATTGTGTGAAAAACACATTTACTTTCTCTGCCTGTGTTATGTTTCTTTGTAGGTGATGTCCAGAGGTGGAATAGTGCAGCACGGTCGCGTCCCAGTGGCTGTTAAAGCAGGAACTGGTAAAAAAAAACAATGATACTTAAACTAAGATGGCAATTTAAAAGGATTAGTCTGGTGATAACCTGTATTTCTCTTATTGTCAGCAAATACAATGAAAAGACCACAACCAACAATGAATTTCTTTCAATCAATGAGCTATACATGTACCATGAACACAGCTATTGCAGTTTATGTTGTCAACCCCACATACACCTTCCTACTGCTGTTAAAAAAAGGTGCCAAAACTGCTTCTGTGGTTCGGGCTTGGTTGGGTCGCACAGAATTTCTTCAGGTTCAGGGCGGGCCTTCTCTGGGCCTTATCAAAGCTCTATACTGGATTACCAGATAAACACATGGGAAATGATTTTACATTCTTCCTTTTTATGGCCCACTACTGTTTTGGTCCACTCTTACCACAACAGGTAGCCATTTACAGTGAAAAAGACACAGTTAGCAACTAGCTGGTGAACACAGTGGCTACTAGCACCGCTACTGAGGTTCGGCCTGGTCAGGACATAATGTGTGGCGCACATTTTATTTTAGTTTAGTTTTCTTTACTCTGTGTGTAATAGCTGCACATTTTTACAATTGGAATCACGTCAGGCAGTGATAAATGAAAATGTTATGTTTTCCATATGATTTTTATCAAAGCCACCAGGAGCCAAAGAAGGGGGCTAATTATTATTTAACTGCTGGTGTCCAACAACAAGTAGCTAACTTGCGGCACATATTTCACAACCTCAACTGGTTTGTTTCTAGCAGGGGACCTTTGTTACAAGTCCTCTTTCTTTCCCTGGATTTCCTGTTCATCTCTGCATCCTCTATCTAATAAAATGCAAATATGCCCAACAAATAATCTTAAAGTAACTTCCTAGCTCAGCTTTAGGCTAATCTACATAGCTACATTACCTTCATGCTAGCCTAGCAGATTATTATTTGCCCATGTGCAGTAAAGTTTATGTTTAAATATAATACATGATTATATTAGCTAAATGAGAAAGTATATTTTTTATAATTTTTGTTAATGTATTTTGATTAATAAAGGTTACAGGTCACATTTCCTTCTGTCTGTGTTTCTGCCTCAGTCAACAAAGGAGAGCTGTCCATATCACTCCGTCAGGTTACAAACCTGGCACCATTTGCCCAAGTGGTAGTTTACACTGTGATGCCTAGTGGAGAGGCTGTGGCTGATAGCCAGGACTTCCCTATTCAACTCTGCCTCAATAACAAGGTACCACCCCAAAGACCCATTGGGACTCTTTTATAACGTAAAGCTACAAGAATTGAGTCTTAAGTCTTTTAGATATACAGTGAAATGTGAGGAAATTATTTTAAGTCTGCTTTTTTAAGTATGCTAATACTTCTAATATGCTTTCAAACCAATGACTTTCCTCTTCGGTGTCTCCTGTTCAGGTGTCCATGAGGTTCTCCTCCCTCCAGCATCTTCCGGCAGAGAAGACCACGCTCGGTCTCCAGGCTCACCCAGGCTCTATGTGCTCTGTCAGAGCCATCGACCAGAGCGTCCTCCTGCTGCAGTCAGAGCAGGAGCTCACTGTCGACTATGTACGACACCGATCTTCAGTGCTAGTCTAAACAATGTTAACAGCTGTACCTTTACCAGCATCTGAACAGGGTGTTTTTATTGTAAAAACCACAAAGCCTTGCTTTAGAGATGAGAGCAGTGGAAATATACTACTGTATTTATTTACAAAATATAGTGTGTACTGGCACAGTTATTTGCATTAAGAGCATCATTTTGTAGACCATCATATTGATGATGTGCTGGCCTATACCAGCTGCCTATACTGATGACTTACCCAGTCCTCTTGTGTGTGTTTTTGTGCAGGTGTACAGCCAGCTGCCTTTGCAGAAGCTTTCAGGATACAGCTATGAGGTTGAAGACTTTGAGCCATATCCCTGCTTCCCTGTGCCAATGCCAGAGCCCGAGCCAGAGCCGGAGCCGGAGCCGGAGCTGGAGCTTGAGCCCGAACCAGAAGTTGAGCCAGAACTGGAGATTGTGGTTGATTTAGCTCGTCGAAATAAACGCTCCATCTACTTTGGACCGCCCAATCAGAAGAATGATGTCTACAACATCTTTAAAGTAGAAAATTTTTATCATTTTGACTACAGGAGCTGATCTCTGTCTAGCTAGCGAGCTATGAATACCACTGATTTTCTAGCGTAGCTTTCAGGTAGGATTGGCTAGGTGGCCATGCTCATCAGGAAACTTATAGAAAGCTCATAGGAAAATGCTTTATGTGTAGTATAAATGGCGACAAAGTCCAAGTTTACCCAGGAAGTAGCGGTGGATGAATGGGTTAACAACAGGACCTGTTAATTAGTTGACTTATTATTTTCATTTAGCTTATCTTCAATTGTCAGTCGCAGTTTGGTTAGGTTTAGGCAGCGAAACCTCTCGGTTATGTTTAAGGCTGATTTATAGTTGTATGTCAGCTGTTTGTCGAGCCTACACTGTACTGAGACAACACCATACTTGCAGCATTCCTAAGCCTAAGTTTTGTTGCCTAAAGCCTTATTTATACTTCTGTATCAAATCAATGTTAGCAGCATGTTAGAAAGCCTTTCTGGCTGAAAACTGACAGAACAAACATGGGTACCTGGCCAATCCTAGCACTCAAATGCTACACAGGACATGTCTTTTCCATGAAATAGGCTGAACTGCTGTCCATCTCTACGTCTGTCTCTCTGTCGCTTTATCTATATTTATCTACCGTATCTATCTCTATGTATATCAATCTATCTCTATCTGTCTTTATCCAGTCGCTCCAGATTTTTATAGGCTTTTTTTGGGATTGTTACGACCTTAAATGCTTAGTGGGAACCACCGTCCTATACCACTCTCAATAAGTTTGTAAAACAATAGTGTATGCCAAATAGTATCAAAATCTTTTTGGAAATCAATAAAATGGGCATACATTTTGGTTTTATTTTTTGTTTATATGTTTATCAATTAGACTATGCAGGGTGTAAATATGATTGGTTGTGCAGTGTTTGATATAAATCCAATTTGCTCAAGACATTGTGCTTGGTAAGGAAGTTCATTAGTCTGGCATTCATTCAATACTACATAAAACCTTCCCCGTGTTACTGTTCACACAAATGGCTCGGTAATTATTAGGGTCAAATTTGTCTCAATTTTTATTGATTGTAAATGTGGACTTGTATTATAAGTCCATGATTCCAGATGTCAGGAAAATACTCCGTATACATTTAGAACCAAATTAAATATTTTTGTTATAGCCAATTGGAATTTCTTGTCCAAAATCTTCTATCTATCTCAATCTGTCTGTATCGCTATATCTGTTCTATATCTATGCAGCTCTATCTCTACATATCTCTCTAGATCTATATATCTGTCTCTATAATAGATTTATAATGATATACAATAAATAATCTATAATTGTCATTTAAATTATATAGTTCTGTTTAGGTATATACCGTAAAACTTAAATTAAAAGCAGGGTCCCGGGCGCCCGGTTAGCTCAGTGGGTAGAGCTGGCAACCCATGTACCAAGGCTGAGTCACTGCTGCAGCGGCCCAGGGTTCGAATCCGACCTGCAGCCCTTTGCTGCGTGTCATCCCCTCTCTCTGCCCCCCTTTCCTGTCTGTCTTCAGCTGTCACTATCATAAAGG